TACTTATTATTATTCTGTGGNGAGGAATAGTCCGCACCCTAGCAGATGCATATAGACAGCATCGAGTCCCTCCGAGCGACCCTGGAGGAACGCCGAGCGAGCACCGAAGAAGCATTAGCAGCTGTGGCACGCAGCGAGCTGGTACTGACCGCGTTGTTGCAGCAGATACAGGCTTTAGCGATGTGAGTACCATGACCCGACAAATAGGCCGCACTGCAGCAGATAATTTTTTAGCAATGCGAGTTCCAAACGCCTAAGGTATCCCTTCCCTTACGAACGAATAGTCCAACAAAAGGCAGGTTAAACTCTACAAGCAGTAGGACAGCATATAATCCCTCCGAGCGACCCTGGAGGAACGCCGAGCGAGCACCGAGGAAGCAAGAGCAGCGGTCGCGTTGTTGCAGCAGATACAGGCATTGGCGATGTAAGTACCAAACGGCAGAGGCAAACTTCTTGTACGAAAGTATAGGCCGACGGATAACCCGAAGAATAGCCCGACAAATAGCTCGCACTAAAGCAAATACAGGCGTTGGCAATGCTAATACCAAACTACCCTTATTAACGAAATAGTGAGCACAGTAAAAGATGTAGACACTGGAGTTGATTCTCGGAGCGACCACTAGAGCAGCGCCGTGCCCGCATTGAGCTCGTACTGACCGCGTTATTGCAGTAAATACAGGCATTAAAAAATAAATAAATAAATCAGTTATGTGAGTAGGGTAAGGTTGCGATCAATGGACCAGCTCTTTCTTTGGACCGCTCTTATTTCTCGGAACCTAAGTACTTTAAAAATCAACTGTTTACACGAAACGTTAGCTATTTGAGCTAGTACCAACCCCTGCTTCCACCAGTGTCGCCGTGAGCTCCGTTGGGGAAGGACGTTTGCTGCAGTGTTTCGCGCGCTCCCGATGTAATTTTCTTGTGACACAGTTTACCAGGTAAGTACAGTTTATTAAATGTTTTTATTGTTATTTATCGTGAATCGCACGCCTTATTTAGTTGTTCAAGTAGATTTGTAAACTGTTTTTTGCAATATTTCACAGATTTTTATGTATTAACCTTTTTGTCTTTGTGCTATGAATTGCCATCAATGGACCAGTAAGTTTCTCTTTAATTGGACCGGTCCAATCATGGCAACTTTTAAAATAGTAATTTAAATGGTTTTATTTTTATTTTAGCATGGCAAAACGAGGGGAATACTGTGCGTGGAACGAAGAAAGCATGACATTGGCACTACAAGCTTTAAGTAAACAAGAAGTTGGACTGAATGAGGCAAGTAGGATATATGGTGTACCAATAGCGACGCTAAAAAGAAGGCTGGACGACAAAAATTTAGGGGAAAAGGTGCAAATCAAATAATTGGATCGACAGGTGACCTTACTCCTGACTTAGAGAAAAAGATTAATAAAATGATTAATGAGACTGTGCCATTTTATTTTATAAAGCGTTGACAAATTGTAGAATAATAAAATTGATTATTATATTATTGTCTTTTGTTTGAATTCTCATAGTACCGTTGAATGGACCACTGCACAAAATTTCCTAAGTCCAATGATAGCAACTCACTGGTCCAATTAAAGAAACAGTGGTCCAAAGAAGACAACCATGGCAAAACAGTTTTTTTCTATTTTCTCTGTTTATGGTTAATGCTAAAAATCACAAATGACACATGCAAGTTCTTATATATAAGACTTATTAAAATGTTGAATCATGTTGCTCCTATCTATCACAATTCCGCTGTTATGTCATTTTAAAGTTAAGTGGTCCAATAGTGGCAACCTTACCCTAAAGACGCCTGATGGATTGTCCGCACTACAGATGCAGAGCTTAGCAATGTAAATAAGTAACTCTTGAAACCTGACAGAGTATACTTTCCCTTCTGTTCCTTTGGCACATTAATCTCATCAAAGAAGACTTTGAGCTACCCTTCTCTTTGTTCACTTATACAGCGAGCTAGTCGAGCTAACTATTTAAAAGTCAGACATTACAAATCATGTACGCCTGTAGGAAAACTGCAAGCAAACTTTACACAGCAAAGTAATTGCTTTCTTAGCTGAACAACGCATTATAGCCCAAAATTTAAATTTAATTTATTTAGTCAGAATACTTCGTACATTCAACATCTAGTTCTTGTCCTTGATATATTCCATTTATAGTAAACATTAAGTTATCTATTCACGATATAAATCATTAAAAATCATCAAACAAGTTTCAACATCAGTAGGCGGATGTAGCTCCTTGTATAGGTGTCATGATGACCAATTCAGTGGTCAGTTTTATTTTAATACAATATTATGTCATCAATGAGCTGGCTATTTGTTTCTTTCTGATTTAGAGGTTGATAATGTTTTGAAATTATTATATTACACCTTTACACCTTCACTGTTCCGTCACATACTATCACAATAAAATTATATTATAGATTTTCCATCAAACTATACCTGTATCATTTCCAAAAACAAGGCTACGTTACCTTTAATCGCGTGCGTGCCCCTCTTTCAAAAACCGATTTAAACTATCGACTGTTTTTTCTGGTCTAAAAATATCTTGAAAGTTCAAGTTTAACAACCATTTCTCCTCTCCTCCTGACCAAAGTTTCACATTTATAACTTTTAATGCAATTTATAACTTCTAAAATGATTATTTCCTCCACCAGGTCATCGGAATGCAACTCCCTACCTCTGATGAAGTTACTCGGCAAGTCGTTCGGCGTGAGCGAGACCAACGCGCGTCTTTACATCAAGAGTCTTGAGAAGAAGGTCATGGAGATTGTAGAAGTTATCAAGATTGAGGAGGTTGGTTTACTGGTTTCGATTAAATTCTCCTTTGTTTGTCGTCTTTCTGCCACGCCTATTCAGATGGTTAACAGCTTGCGTAAAGAAATAGCTCACGTGAAGAAACAGCTCACGAGGTATTTTTCATTTCATTCAATTTGTTACATTTTATCAAAGTAAGTTAGAGTACTCTATGTATAGTGCTCTAAGGGGAGGCTTACGTAAGTGAAGTGCCACTAACTGACATGTCAATAATATGACAACATATGACTGACATGCCGCCGGCTCCACACGTTAGCCCCAAAGTTAGTCCCAACGCGCAACGCCACTCGTCAAATGTGTGGATCTAGAAAATGGTATTGGAATTAACGTTGGGACAATATTTAGGACCCTCACATATCGTGGGTTGAATCATGAAAAGGTATAACAGATTTTATGCATTTTTCAGGAGCGACGTTTAAAGATAATTTGAAGTATGGAAAAATGCATTTCGGGCCCTTTTTACCTGTCCATACTGGCTTCCTGAAAAAGAATAGACTAGATGACAAAATGTCAATTATTTGTCCGTCAGACAGATAATAATAATTATAAAATATTAGAGTCATATTTTTTATTTTCTTTCATAATTAAATAATAACAGTGCTACATCGAGTTGAAATGGCGCGATACGTCACGCTTGAGTAGAATTTTTACTCAAAGGTGACGTCACGCGACATTTCAACTCAATATAATATTGTAATTATTCGATTATGGAAAAAATTAAAAAATATGAGTCTAATATTTTCTAATTATCTGTCTGACGAACTAAATAAAATATCTGTTTCACTACCCCGTCATCATCCCTATTCAGTTACGATCTTTTGGGAGTTTATAAAATACATGTTTTAATAACATGGTGTGTTTAACTCAATATCGCCATTTTATTAGATACGCCTTTTCGTGCCCATGGACCAATTTTGTTGCCAACGTGTGGAGCCAACCTAAGTGCTTGTTCACGTTGACTCGAGGGCGCGGGCGCGGGCGCGGTGACGAAATATCAAACATATGTAGTGATTCCAAGTGTTCACGTACGAAACGCAGGTGCGGTCTAACTAGCGGGCAAGCTAGCGACTTGTGCGCGCGGAGCGCTCGCGGTAATTTCAACGCGTGAAGATGTTTGTGTGTGTTCATGTCAAACTAGCGGCGGCGCGCGCGTTTCACTCGCGACGTCAGGTAAGTTCAACCAGTTTGAACTTGTCGCTAGAAACGATAGTACGTCACACTTGCGCGAACGCCTGGTCTTCAATGTGAACACGAGCTCGCGACGTTTCACGCGCCCGCGCCCGCGCGTGCCTACGTGAACAAGCACTAAGACTTTTCTTCCCCCCAGGCATGGCAGAGAGCGGCGGAAGGCAAAGAACGCACTCCGCCATCTTCGCGGCGCCGACGCAAGCCCGCTCCGTCGCCGCGCGCGCCGAGACATAAGGACGCGCCGCAAATCGCCGTGCAAGCCTAATAACCTTAAGTCGGCCGTTTGGTGTAGTGGTTCAGAACGGACTACTATGCCGATGTCCCGGGTTCGATTCCCGGTGGGGCAGAAATTAAAATGATGAATTTTAATGACGGGTCTGGGTGTTTTCTATGTATAATATGTATGTATTTACAAAAAAAAGTATTTAAATACGTTTATATCCATTGTCTAGTATCCATAGTACAAGCTTTGCTTAGTTTGGGACTAGCGGTGCAGTTTAAAATGTCCAAGGATATTTATTATTATTTATTCGAGTTTGGGCGAGAAAAAAAACGCCATATTTAGCAGTTTTAATTCTAGCTAGAGCTTAACTGAGTCAGTGCCTGAAGTAATGAAGCGGCACGGGAGGGGTGACATTGACATATTATGACGTGACAGAACATACAAATCTGAAATCTCTGCCGTTTGAAGTCACAAAAACACCCTCCCGTGCCGCTAATATGACTCAGCTAAGCACTAAATTTATAGTTTGTTCTATTTTCCATAATATTTATGTTTGGGGCCGAACATTATTATACAAATGTTTGTTTATCAGCCAATTAAGTTCCCGCACTTTAACGGCGCTATGCTGCGCTAACGCGGCAGAGTGTAAACAAAAAAGTGCACATCACTTCAAATTGTTTAAAATTCTGCATGAGATCTCATTAAAATGCTAATTGATTCGTATAGTTTAAAAGATGTTTACAATCCTATCATTTCAAATAAAACATAATCAACATTTAAAAAAGTCAGTTTATTTATCCTTACCTTAATAAATTATTAAACATAATTCCTTTGTTGTCTATGTAAAGCCAGTTTACATTGAATTGTACCTTTTTTCTTAGTTACCTATTGTTTCGACATCACAGATTTGTACCCGTGCGACAGTAAATTCCTACCTGAAATCAAAATGTGAAACACTTCTAAGTTCATTTTTTTCAAAGTTCTTTTAAACCTATGATTAATTATAATATAGTGAATCAGTCATTAAATTTAGTTTTATTTGTTTATTTCTAATTTAGTTTTTGATAGTCATGAAATCAGTAGTTGTGCTTTAAAAGTGGTGTGCACATTTAGCAGTAGTGTAAACTAAATGTTGCAACTTGGAAAAATGATTGCAATATTTCCGCAAAAAACTGAGCCACTTTGGATCATTTTTAACTTTTTGCTCTTTATATTATTATTTTTAAATGTTATAAAACATACATTTTCGACAAACATCACTTGTTTGTACCTAAATACCTGCGGTGGTGACTTCTGTAATTTATCAGAGGCAAATGGAGGATTTGGCCAGACGGTTTGGGGAGATCTATGTCTACAGTAATTAACTACAACTCGGTCGTGTTAACTGCGTATCTCGCTGGAATAGGATTCTCCCTCGCACTGCGGCTGAGTGGGGCGTTCTGGGGGCGTTGGCCTTATCCGTACCAGAGCCCCGATTACGGTAATTTTTAACGTCTCCAATCCAGACACGCTTCTCGGTTCTGCGATACGATTGGTCGTTCAACAGCGTACGTCAGCTGTTTTGACCAATCGTATCGCAGAATCGATGAAGCGCGTCTGGATTGGAAACGTTAAAAGTTACCGTAATCGGGGCTCAGAGCGTCGATGTGACGTCACGATGCCAGGTGCGCAGTTAACTCGCCGGTTTGTATGGGCACTCACCTACGTGACTCTAACGGGCAGTCCCCTCGCGACCATGGCATTGGCGATCATGACGAAGCCTGTAGAACCTCGCGCGAGATATAGCGCGGAGGTTCCTCTCGGGAACAAACTGGCTCCTCTATGACCTGGGTCATGACCTGGGGCTATGTTAGCTAAGGACACTGACCTACGTGACTCTGACGGGTAATCCCCTCGCTACCATGGCACTGGCGATCATAACGAAGCCTGTAGAACCTCGCGCGAGATATAGCGCGGAGGTTTCTCTCGGGAACAAACTGGCTCCTCTATGACCTGGGGCTATGTTAGCTATGTACACTCACCTACGTGACTCTGACGGGTAATCCCCTCGCAACCATTGCACTGGCGATCATGACGAAGCCGGTGGAGCCGCGTGCTCGGGATATAGCGCGGAGGAGGTTCCTCTCAGGAACGAATTGTGTCTTCTGCTCCACTTCTGTGTCTGAAAGTTATAGCAGAGTAAATACAAATGAGTAGGTCATCTTCATAGAAACGCACCGAGCGCGGTTTGTATGTGAGCGCGCGCCAATACGTATACGGCGCGAACGCACACACTGAGAAAATTCAGCGCACCTCACCACCGCTAAATTTTATTGGAGTTTTTTTAGATTGATTTTAAACATATAAAGTTTTGAAGTCTCTCATCTTGTTTCTGATTCGATCATGTAGGAAAACCAAGCATAGCTCGCGCATGACAATGAGTAAGGAATATTAGCTTAAGGGCTACCTTTTCTTTTTTTATGTAAATAACATTTTGACGTTCATAAGTGCCACTTGTGGTCTAAACTGAATAAATATTTTTGATTTTGATTTTTTTTTGACATGGCTCGTAGAACTGATGGCCGCTGGGGCAGAAAATTTAAAAAGTTAAAAAGACCGAAAGACGTCGTGAAGGTAGGCTTCCTACTCGGTCGATCAGTTCAAGCATTTTTATGAGACCCGTGGTTAGCCTCCCATTCGATGAACCGACGATCTAGTGAAGGTCACAAGAAGCTGGATGCGGACAGAATAGATTCGATCATTGTTGAAAGCTTTTGTCCAGCAGTAACTGCATTTGGTTGTAAAAAAATTAATAAAAAAGCTATTAGTAATCAATTAAAGTAAACAAATAAGTAAACAAATAAGCTGAAAGACGTAGCGTGGGCAGGCCTCCTACTAGGTGGACCGACGATCTGGTAACGGTCGCGGGAAGAGCCTGGATGCGGGCAGCGCAGGACCGTTCATTGTGGAAAACCTTGGGGGAGGCCTTTGTCCAGCAGTGGACGTCATTTGGCTGAAACGAACGAACGAACGAAACAAATAAGTACCTAAAACTCCTTGACTCCATTTCGCCTTCCCAACCGAAGGCCAGGGCACCGGCGCGTTGGACGGCACGTACAAAGACATGAGGGTAGACACCATCTTGTCCACCTCCAGGTCAGTCACCTCCCACAGCATGCCCACCACCATGGGACTGGAAACCATTGATTGACCATGAATAATTAATTAATAAACAAGTAAGTAATAGTGAGTTTTCTTGCACTTCTTCAATAGTCAATTAGTCATGTGACAAGCAAAGATAAAAATAATAAATAAAAACTAGTTATTATTCCAAAGCAGTAGTGTAAAAATTAAAGTTATTGGCATATCTAATTTTTCATCACCAACAGTTAATTAAACAAAATAACATTTTGACAAGAGTGGGTTAATGTTTAATGTATTTACTTATTACATTACAGGTAAACACCAGCATACATTTAACGTGAGGACCTCTATACAATAGACACTCACTAACATACAAGGGGTCCTGGGCACTTAAGGCTCAAGGGGGGGCCCTTATCATCTGGAAAAAGATCTTTTGAGCAGACGGGGGCCCTCTCGGTTACGGGGTTGGGCACGTGCCCAAAGTGCCCAGTAGGAAAGAGGGGCCTGTGAGGGGTCCCTTATACTTCAACTGACCGTGAAACTGCATTTTCGTAACTTTACAGGAGAAAAGAAAACGATTATTTTTCGTAAAATGACATAAAAGAAGTGATTCTTGTTTATTTATTATGTGTAATTATGATATATGATAATTAATTAATAAACAAGAATCTGACTTCTTTATAGACATTTTATGAAAATATATCGTTTTTCTTTTCTCCTGTAAAGTGTAAAGTTACGAAAATGCAATTTCGCGGTGTTGAAGCATAAGGAACCCCTCACAGGCAGTACAGGCACATAAATTATAATATTGTGTATGCGAGTGTGATTTGAAGTGGGAAAGTGTCCATTATTGTCCGTACCTGCCAGCGATGTGCAGATGGTGATGGGCCGCAGCCGGCGGCGCGCGTCCGGGCGGGCGGGCCAGCCGCACGGAGCCGCAGCCCGACAGCAGAACTAGAGCCCGAGCACCAGCGGCGCCCTCCACGCCGGCGCCGTTCGCGCTGCCATTCGCGAAGTGGCAGCCGTCGCCGTGGCCGCAGTATCTGACGATTAATAATTTAATAACATTGATATCCGCAGCGTGGGACGTCCACCTACAAGGTGGACCGACGACATCGTAAAGGTAGCAGGGAAGCGCTGGACGCAGGCCGCTACCAATAGATCAACATGGAAAGCATTGGGGGAGGCCTATGTTCAGCAGTGGACGTCCTATGGCTGAAATGATGATGATGATGATATCCGGCTCGAAGGACCATGTATAATTCCACAAAAGACAGTTGGCATCCGGCTCGAAGGACCATGAAAAAATTCGAAACCTAATAGACAAAGTAACATGACTGACAATTCCAAAAATCGCTTCGTCTGTACTGTTTTTAAGGCAGCATGTCCGTTCTAAATGCACGAAGGACCTATCTATCTACTATCGACCGAGCGGTCCGATGCCGACACCGTTTGGCTATTGTTGCCTTATTCTAATAGCCCGGAGCCGCAGCCCGACAGCAGAACTAAAGCCCGAGCACAGCGGCGCCCTCCACGCCGGCGCCGTTTGCGCCGCCGTTCGCGAAGTGGCAGCCGTCGCCGTGACCGCAGTATCTGATGGCATAAAACAATTGGTATCTGGCTCGAAGGACCATATAAAATTTCGAAGCCCAATAGACAAAGTAACATGTATGACAGTTTCAACTCCAAAATCGGTTTATTCGCTCCGTCTGATCTGTGTTTTATGGCAGCACGTCTTTAATTAGACGTGGATTAACGAAATCCACCTATCTATGTATCTACTATCGACTGAGCGGTCTGATGCCGACACCGTTTGGCCATTGTTGTTTTATTCTAATAGCCCGGAGCGGCACCAGCGCACGGAGCCGCAGCCTGACAGCAGAACTAAAGCCCGAGCACCAGCGGCGCCCTCCACGCCGGCACCGTTCGCGCTGCCGTTCGCGAAGTGGCAGCCGTCGCCGTGGCCGCAGTATCTGATAGCAAAAGGACCATGAATAAGCCTACAAAAGATAGTTAATATCCGGCTCGAAGGACCATGTACAAATCCGAAGCATAATAGACAAACATAACAGGAATTCGCTGCCTGCTGCTGTCTTTGCTGATCCGGGCCTTTTCAAGGCAAGAGTGAATAGGCACTGACAGGGCAGATATGTACCATCCTAGACTGCATCTTACTTAACACCAGGTACGATTGCGGTCAAATACCTACCTTGTCTTGCATAAATCAATTTATTCCAAAATTCGCTCCGTCTAATCTATTTTTATGGCAGCACGTCCTTAATTATATGTATTAGACGAGGATTCACGAAACCGACCTATCTACTTATTCTAATAGCACAGAGCCGCAGCCCGACAGCAGAACTAAAGCCCGAGCACCAGCGGCGCCTTCCACGCCGGCGCCGTTCGCGCTGCCATTCGCGAAGTGGCAGCCGTCGCCGTGGCCGCAGTATCTGATGGCATAAAACAATTGGTATCTGGCTCGAAGGACCATATAAAATTTCGAAGCCCAATAGACAAAGTAACATGTATGACAGTTTCAACTCCAAAATCGGTTTATTCGCTCCGTCTGATCTGTTTTTTATGGCAGCACGTCCTTAATTAGACGTGGATTAACGAAATCCACCTATCTATGTATCTACTATCGACTGAGCGATCTGATGCCGACACCGTTTGGCCATTGTTGCTTTATTCTAATAGCCCGGAGCAGCACCAGCCGCACGGAGCCGCAGCCCGACAGCAGAACTAAAGCCCGAGCACCAGCGGCGCCCTCCACGCCGGCGCCGTTCGCGCTGCCGTTCGCGAAGTGGCAGCCGTCGCCGTGGCCGCAGTATCTGATATAAAGAGAGTCGACATCTAGCATGAAGGACCATGTATAACCCTACAAGACAGTGGGCATCCGGCTTGAAGGACCATGTACAAATACGAAGCGTCCCCGTGGCCGCAGTATCTGACGGTATAAGACAGTTGACATCCTGATGGATCATGTATAAGCCCACAAAAGATAGTTGGCATCCGGCCCGAAGGACCATGAAAAAATTCGAAACCTAATAGACAAAGTATAATGACAGTGATAATTCCAAAATTCGCTCCGTCTGATCTGTGTTTATGGCAGCATGACCATTCCGAATGCACGAAGGACCTGCGTATCTGATAACAAACGACAGTTGGCATCCGGTTTATCTAAAAGCCTAATAGATAAAAGTTGGCATCCGGCTCGAAGGACCATGAAAAAGTCCTAGGCCTAAAGGTCAGACCGCATTTGCACGGCGCAGCCGCAGCGTGAAACTGCACGGCGCGACACAAAGCGTCAAATTCTATTAGTAATTTTTTTTTGTATGGAGTACGTCGCATTATGTCGGCGTAAAATAACGTATGACAGTTTCAATTCCAAAATCGATTTATTCGCTCCGTCTGATCTGTTTTTTATGGTAGCACGTCCTTAATTTTGTTCGAACATCAAATCGACGAGCAGATCGAATTATCGACCCTCGAATCAACAATCCGATACCAAGAACGTCAGGCTATTGTCACGGTAATACTATCATACAGTATTGTAACTTCATATAAACGGACGAAACGCGAGCTTTCCTTCGAAATTCAAATCTCGGTATGCGCTCGACATGCAAACGTCGGGGGTGTCGCGAATGTGCCACAGTAATAAACGGACGATGTGTTGTTTTTTAAACAGTGCTTCTTTTTATATTTTATAAAAATAATTACAATACAGGGGGTTAGGTTATGTTAGGTAAATGTTTTTTTTATGCATAACAAGGCAGGTATTTGACCACAATCGCACCTGATGTTAAGTGGGATGCAGTCTAGTCTAGTCTAGTTTATAAGCCGACACTAGCCCATGTTAACATATAGGCATGGTGAAGTCAGTGAAATCATTTTATTTAATTTTTAATTTTTATAAAAATCAGATTTGTATGAAAATAAAAATTATTAAAATGATGAAATGATGATATCAATTTTCTGACTTGACCATACCATTTATATGCACATGTTAACATGGGCTAGAGTGTCCGCTTATAAACCCATTTACCTAACACCCTGTATAATAATAATTAAGCATTTTGTACGCCTCATTCGAGGCGCATACATTTTACGATCGCAAATTTATAAGATTTGTTACTAAATCTTAGCACAAATATATTTTTTAAATTAATTCTACTAATAACAAGACAACGTGCATTTTTATCCTATTTCATTCACCAGCTATTTTGTTTTTCAAAATAAAATAAAAAATTACAATCACAAAATACATTCACAAAACTAGATAGAAATTCTAAGTAGGCAGATGTAATGAAAATAGGGTCTGCAGGTGGGCAGCCCTATCGCATGTTGTCATACGGTGACGTACCGCGCGGCTGTTGACATTTATTTCAAAAATATGGCCGAGTTGGAATACTGTATAAGATAGTATTACCGTGCTATTGTTGTTTTATTTTAATAGCATTTAAAACACTCGTTTAGTGTTAATCATTACTCTTGACAATATTTCTATCATCGCAATATTATCTCTTTGTCCAAAGACTTAAATAGTCTTTGGAAATACCCACAAACTAACATAAACAACAGTAAATGCTAAATGCATTGTTTCTTTTCATAGTCAAGTTTATGCCTTTACTTTCTTCGGTAGTCGTAATATTTGACGATCGCCGTGACCGCGATTCCTAGGCAACAATAACCCAAGTAATCATGTGAACGAAATAAACATAGACGCATTAAAAAATTACCTTTAATTTTATTATTATTATATTTTTGATTCTAGCAAGGACATTGTCATTTGTTGATTACAAAAAAAAAGTCGACAACATTGCAATTATTTGCTGTCTTAAGATCCAAAAAACATAAAATCCTTCGTTTAACTTTTTTATTCAATATGTTCGGAGAATGGTGTCCGACTCTATCCTTAACATGTCCTTCGATCGATTTAAGAGGAGCACTTAATCAGATTTATGTTCTGACAATCCAATTGATTCATAAAATATCAAGATATTAAGATAAAACCAAATATCTTCTAAACGACAGTAATTTAAATTTTTAGGCACTGACGATAAGTCCATATTGCTAGCGAGTACAGAGGGTAATTTCTACGTACTTTTCTTTCACCACCACGATAATCTATCGTGAGATAACTTTCTTTGCTCCAGATTAACGTATTCTGTCTTTTAGCATAATTATGGGCAAATTATACGAAAGGTCTGATACCAACTCGCATTGAGTCATTTGAATTTTAATTATGAGTTATGAGCGGGTAAGTATTGTTTGTGAAATTGCATCTTTTGTGACGGAGAATATTCAGAATGTTAATTTAAAACGGCCATGATTTTAACCATTGCTAAAGAAATTGTCAAAGATAAAATTAAAATTATCCAACCACTTCATATAATTTTTCAGCTGTTAAAAACGAATCTGGCGTAGATTTTTATTGCAATGCAATAGGAGCTTGTGATGTAAAGAGGAATATCGTTGTTATAGTTAACAGTTGGCAACACTGGTGATTGACATGACCCTACTTTACAGAGGCGCCATCCTGGTGAGAGCAGATGCGAGTCCTCTTACCGCTTCAGCGCTATCAGTTGGCGCCACTTTCTTCGCCACTAGCAAGTTATTTTGACTCTACAGTGGCGGCAACTGGTAAGCGTTTTAGCGCTTAGCTCTGCTATGCTGCTGTTAGCTCTCATTGATTGACTACTTTTCAACCGACTTCAAAAAAGGAGGAGGTTCTCAATTCGACCCGAATGTTTTTTTTTTCTATGTTTGTTACGCGATAACTCCGCCAATTATGAACCGATTTGAACAAATCTTTTTTCGGCGTATAGGTAATACCTCAAGGGTGGTCCCATTTAAATTTAATAATAGAAAAAACAACCCCCAAGGGTGGAAAATTGGGGATGAACTTTTTTATACGCAATATCTCCGCCGATTATAAATCAATTTGGACGATTATTTTTTTGTTGAATAGGTATTATCAAAAGGGTGTTTTCTTGCGAATTTGAAGAAAATATTTCACCCCCAAGGGTGGAAAATTGGGGATGAACTTTTTTATACGCAATATTTTTAATTTTTAGTTTTTTTTTGTGTTCACGCATTTGAAGTCGGTTTTATTTTAAAAAAAAGTTAATTATTGGTTTCAAAGTAAGCAAATATGTTCTACCTGAATCTATGCCATAGCGAATCAATGTCTGATATTGCTACAAAATTCACTTTCACAGGCAATAAAGAAAGCATTCTGTAAAGTATACATGACAACTCACAGGAAGACGTCAGCTTCAGTGAGGTACTTGAGGAAGTCTTCAGGAGGGGGCGGCTCCCCGATATGCCCCGCCCACGCGCCGCACCAGTACTGAACGAATGAGCCCATTCGCTTCTCCATGCGGTCTAGGTTCTTCTCTGTGGTAATAGAGTGAAAAACAGTTGTAATAATGAAGTAAAAGAAAAATATAAGTAAGAGAATGGAAAAGAAAATCTGATTTTTAAGTATAAATGTTTATGTTATCTCTAGAAAATTACAGACTTCAGAAAACGAGAAAAATCAGAAGACAATAGAAATGGCAATACCAGATTTTGTATGGAAGGTGGCGTCTTTTTTTTTTATTACAATATTTTGTAATCAAAAAACAAGGTTTGGTCGATGGCCGCGCGAAAAAAAAAAGACGCCAATTTCCGGCAGTCTTTTCAAATTAAAACCATAATTAAAAAACTGACGTCCAGCAGGGGACGTATTTTAGTTAAAATGAAATAATGTCAACTTTACCGGGATTAATAATGTATCTTCCGACGTCCGCCTTCGTCTCTAAATACCCATCAACGATATTTTTCTCGTGCAACTTGTACAAGTAATACAAGAAGTGTATGTTCTCGATCCGCGACACGGGGTCGTGGTTAATTATGGGAAGAGTCTCCCATGGGAATGTGTCCAGCATCTGGAATTTAATTTTTATTTTGTTAGGCACAACATACAATAAATTATACATCGTTTTATCCACGAAGAAGCGCCCCACCATTCTTCCGCTAATGTTTGAGTGTTATCGGTACACGCTAAATCATCCATGAGTGCACACGCACACTACAATAATGTCGCTCGGATTGCTCGGATCAAACTCCCCGCACCCCGCGCGACCGAGACCAAGAATTGGTAGGGCGTGTCTTCGTGATTGAAACGATCTATACACAACATGACTTTCTAATGTAACAAAAAATGTTGTCAGACTTCACTGAGAAACGCTAGTATTATTATGGAATATAAACAACAGTATAACTTTAAAATGTCTGGCGTATTTCTAACGGTACTAGGTGGACTGACAATCTGGTGACGGTCGCGGAAGGTGCCCGGATGCGGGCAGCATCCTTGGGTGAGGCCTTTGTCCAGCAGTGGACGTCATTTGGCTGAAACGAACTTCTTGATGTTCACTCAATAAGGGTTACCGAAAGGGTTAATAGGGTCTTTGTCTGTTGCTTGTGGCCAAGATAGTGGCGCTAACTAGTGGGCGTAATTAGAAGCATGGTGGGTCAATTGCAGAAAACGGCAGAGCAAAATTAAATACCTAATATTATAAAGCTGAAGAGTTTGTTTGTTTGTTTACTTGAACGCGCTAATCTCCGGAACTACTGGGCCGATTTGAAAAATTATTTCAGTGTTAGATAGCCCATTTATCGAGGAAGGCTATAGGTTATACAACATCACGCTACGATCAATAGGAGCAGAGCAACAATGAAAAATGTTGCGAAAACGGGTTTTCACGCGTATGAAGTCGCGGGCACAGCTAGTGTTTAGTGTAAAAAAGCTGTAGTCTCCAAATAAATAAACCTTTTTTTCTGTGCTAAGCAGAAATACATGCCGGGTAGTTACTGTCAATGCGCTCTAATTAATAATCTAATGACGGCCAATTTAGCAGAACGAAATATTAGATCGCTCATTATACGATGCTGCTTAATCAACGAAGTTTTTTTATCCAGAACAAAGCAGTTGTTCATATTTATTAAACTTTTTTTGTGTTCTCACTTTATAATTGCTTTATACATATTTTATAAGTGTGGGTGGATTTTGGTAAGTTTGTTTCTGTATAAAAGCAATATTTAATTTTTATTTAAAACACCAAACCGAACATGTTAAAAAAAAGTTCAATAAAAAGTTATAAACGATTATTTCCTGATTATACTAAAAAAAAAATACCAGAATTACGCGTAAATTGCTTAACAATTACTTATGTACCTACTTAATTTATGTATGTATGCGTTCGTGCATACGTGCGTAAGGAAATTTCTCTATTTTCGTAGCTAATCATAATGTTTACGATATCCCAATTCGTGAACAACATCATAATTTAGGATTTGACAGAAGGTAAACAAAGACGTTTATTTAGTTTTTTTCTCAAGTTTTGGTTTTCATCAAGTAAAAATAATAATAGAGAGACATACAAGCTGCTGTTAAAACTCGACTACAAAACAGTGCCTGAGGTATGAGATCGGCAAGAGACGTATTTTTCAAAAATCAGATGTGCTTCAGATTTGTATTATAGATGACCCACGCTGAACTGTCCCACCAAACTCAATGACAGGGGGCGCTACCATCGTTCAACTGTATGGTTTCCAACATGGCAAAAATCAGAACAAGCGATCCGGTATTGACGGTGGCGCCCCACTGTCAATGTCATGCATAGGACGGTTCAGTATTTTGGAACTATATTTTGTATGCTCTGTCACGTCATAATATGACAATATCACCCCTTACGTGCACTCTCATACCTCAGGCATTGACTAAACTAAGTTATAAACTAAACTAATTCAAATTAACTCATCTACTCACCTCGTCCACAATCAAAATCACCGGATGCCGCTTCGCCTTCTTAAGCCCCGCCCACTCGTCGCCATCTTTGACCAGGGTTGCCGCTTGAGAAAAAGCCTTAATGCCGTCAACCAGCGTAAAATGGTGTACAGCCTCAAAGCACTTCGACAGACATTTCAAACACAACTCATTCGCAAACGTAAACTCTTTGGTACAGTTCTGACAGTCGTTCGTATTTAGAACCTGTCTTATGTCTTCAGTGTTGCCATGTTCAGTCAAAATTCGTCTGATACACGATTTGATTTGCTGGGACGACAATGCAGGGCTGCTCTCTATTAGATTGTAGAGGAGAATTTTCTGTTTTTTGGTCAGTCTTATGAATCTAGAAATAAAAAGATCCAATTTTAATGTTGTTGCTATAGTTCTAGTGCTTAAATCAGTCAATACCTGAGATACGCGAGTGACACGGGAGGGTTAAATTGACATATTATCAGGCCTGTTCATCTCCGCGAGTTTACATCGAAAACAAAACACGCACGATGGCCCACCTACAGGATACTATTCGACAAGGCCTCACATACGAGCGAACATTGACTCACGCACGCGTATTCTTGTGTATGATGGAAGAAAATAAAGAAAATGGTGTACTAAATACTGTGCAGTATTTAACTGTCTAAATAATAATAAAAACACAGAATGTACTTTTTTAAATTGCCTCAAGACACTGAGAGGTAAATAATTAGTTAATATTATTCATGATAATTCATGCTAAATCATGTATTTGCTCCGCCATTTTCCGCAGTTTGGCACCTCACGTCACATCATTTTACCGAAGTCAGCCCTATAGCTTCGGCGCAGTGCCGAACACTGACGTTTGTCAACAAAATGGTGCTTGACTCTTGAGACAGGCTAAATTACACCATATTGTTAATGACATTGTGCATACATTTTTTTAAATACCTTTGCGAAGTAAAACTTCTGTACGTAGTACTTATTATTATTCTGTGATATTATGATAAATTGACTGAGCATACAAATCTAAAGTCACCTGTCATCCGCTTTGCAATGGAGAGAAGTCGAACCTTAATTTCGAACTCCTATGTTCTTCTGATTAATTTCGTTGCGGATCCAATGACAGTTTAACTTTCCCCCGGGACAAACTTGACCTTCATTGGTTGGGTTTTTATGGCGGTCTAGCTGTAGATCCTGGCTACACAGGAGTTGCAGTGATGGGAACGAGAGGTGGGAATAAAATCTAAAAGAAATCTGAAGTGTCGATGACGTTTGACGTTTCAAAAACACTCCTGTTCAGCTCCATACCTCAAGCACTGACTTAGTAGAGCTAGGCCTATAGTATAAAAAATATGATACTTTCTGGTAGTAACTAAAGCCCGGTCCGTGAGCACGTAGAATTTTGTCCAATGACCCCTAGCTACCCATCCTTGTCGCTCGCGCGTAATTATGTTGCTGTCGCGCTCGCACACTCACTGCGGACGCCCGTCGCACAGTCGCGACAGCAACATAATTACGCGCGAGTGATAAGGATGGGTAGCTTGGGGTCATTGGACTAGAATGATGAATATGACCAGACTATAGTAACTAGTAGTTTTCTTATGCAGTGTGGGTTGTAATAAATCGGGTCACGAGCCAGTAAGTGTTTATGAGCCGGCGTAGGCGTTTGATATGGCTCAATTGGACCGACTAGGACGGCTTAACGTCCTTCATAAATGCTAATGTTATAAACGCTTTGTACTCAAAAGTTTGTGAGCATGAATGGATGTTTATTACGGCTTTACGCGAAAACTATTGAAGTATTAGGCAATGAGACTTTAAAATGTTATAAGTTGCACATTAGAATAGGACATAGCAAACCTTGAGTAGAAAAAGAGACCAATTGACTCCACTATCCTTTAGAAATTAATTTTAAAAACTTTAGTTTTTATATTANATGCCATAACGAATCAATGTCTGATATTGCCACAAAATTCACTTTCACAGGCAATAAAGAAAGCATTCTGTAAAGTATACATGACAACTCACAGGAAGACGTCAGCTTCAGTGAGGTACTTGAGGAAGTCTTCAGGAGGGGGCGGCTCCCCGATATGCCCCGCCCACTCGCCGCACCAGTACTGAACAAACGACCCCATGCGCTTCTCCATGCGGTCTAGATTCTTCTCTGTGGTAATAGAGTGAAAAACAGTTGTAATAATGATAGAAAACTATACAAGTTAGAGAATGGAAAAGAAAATCTGATTTTTAAGGATAAATGTTTATGTTATCTCTAGAAAATTACAGACTTCAGAAAACGAGAAAAATCAGAAGACAACAGAAATGGCAATGCCAGATTTTGTATGGAAAAGGGCGTCTTTTTTTTTATTACAATATTTTGTAATCAAAAAACAAGGTTTGGTCGATGGCCGCGCGAAAAAAAAAGACGTCAATTTCCGGCAGTCTTTTCAAATTAAAACCATAATTAAAAAACTGAAGCTAAGAATGGTTGATCTGTGACAATGACGAAAATGTATGTTTCATTTAGTTGCTTGAAGTAAATTAAAATCAAGTAAACATAATACCATCTTTAACAATATTTATTTCATTGAAAAATATCTTCCATATTGTCATTCGAATAACCATGTAACGGCAACCGTTACGTTGCATACGTTTTATAAGGAACGACAAGAAGTAAATTAATTGTTTGTGATCAAGTTTTGGAAGACGTATCGTAAGCAGGCCTCCCACTCGGTGGACCGACGATCCAGTGCAAGTTGCGGGTAACACCTGGATGCGGGCAGGGCAGGACTTCTTGAGGAAATCTTTGGGAGAGGCCATTGTTCAACAGGGGACGTATTTTAGTTTGTGGGATATGATGCTCAACCACAATAAGGAAGCTAAGGTGTTAGTGCTTCCTTCCGAGCGGGTGTTATGCTCGAGGATCAAGGTCCAATTTACACCATCTTGGTTTGTCTATATGTACTTGGCAGGGTAGAAAACTCCGTCACCGCGATGCAGGTTTGTATGAGCGGCGGAGTGTGCCATAGTGCAGTCGTAACAGCGCCATCTATTGGCACACGTTTGTAGTGGCGTATCGCAGATGTCGCCACAAGTTAAAATGAAAGAATGTCAACTTTACCTGGATTAATAATGTATCTTCCGACATCTGCCTTCGCTTCTAGGTACCCATCAACGATATTTTTCTCGTGCAACTTGTACAAGTAATACAAGAAGTGTATGTTTTCGATCCGCGACACGGGGTCGTGGTTTATTATTGGAAGAGTCTCCCATGGGAATGTGTCCAGCATCTGAAATTTAATTAGCCGACTTCATACCAACGATACCCCACACGATGGGGTAGAAGATGAAAAAAAATCATCCCCACTTTGCATGTAGGGGAGGTATCCTAAGAAAAAATTTTTTCAAAAATTTTTTCTACCGTTTTGTCGGCGTGATTAATATACATACTTCCACAAAATTACAGCTCTCTAGTGACTATAGTTTCCAAGCAAAACCTCGGACGAACAGACAGACAGACATAACGAAACTACATATAAGGTTCAGAATCAGAATCAGAATCATTATTTATTTGCTATAAATGTGGTACAGGAGATGGATACAGTTAATGGTTAGGTCTCACAATTAGTCATTTCTGACATGCAAATATTAAATTAATTAATTATTAAACATTTCAATAAATTCCAATATTATCAATGTAAGATGTCAATATAAATGTTAATAGTAGATACTCAATGTCAAAAATTCAAAAAAAGTCGAATTAATAAATTCCAATATTATCAATGTAAGATGTCAATATAAATGTTATTAGTAGATACTCAATGTCAAAAATTCAAAAAATGTCAGGACTACGGAACCCTAAAAAAGCTGTATTCTTTTTTTGTGTGCTAGGCAAAAATACAAGACGGGTAGTTAGTGTCAAGGCGCTCTAATTAATAATCTAATTCATATTTATTAAACTTTTTTGTGTTGTCACTTTATAATTGCTTTATACATATTTTATAAGTCTGGGTGGATTTTGGTAAGTTTGTTTCTGTTTAAAAGCAATATTTAATTTCTTTTAAAACACCAAACCGAAAACATGTTTAAAAAAAGTGAATAAAAAGTTATAAGATATTTCCTGATTATACAGGGTGGAAACGATAAGTGATCTCACTCGATTATTTCTAAACTATACAAGATATCCAAAAACTGGTTACTGATCCTGAAAGTGCTTCACGAGCTCTATCCAACGGTACCAATAATAGGTTACAAAATAAATTGTATCTATCTGAAAATTCAATGTTTCCAGCCTCCATACATTCAGTAAAAACACATAATAATAAAAACTATACAAGATATCCAAAAACTGGTTACTGATCCTGAAAGTGCTCCACGAGCTCTATCCAACGGTACCAATAATAAGTTATAAAATAAACTGAATCTATCCGAAAATTCAATGTTTCCAGCTTCCATACATTTACTACTGCCACAGTCATGGCACTCATATCTTGATAATATTATAGCAAGTAAAGCCTAAAACCAATGTTTTCCCTGTTTTTTTTAAATAAGAATGCAATTTACGAGTTAATTTTAAGTGTTTATGATTTAAAATAAAAAAATAACACTTAAATATTGTGTAGCTGGCATAGTGGCATACATTTAGTATGGAGGCTGAAAACTTTGAATTTTTGGATAGATCCAGTTAATTCTGTAACCTATTACTGATATCGTTTGAAAGAGCTCGTGAAGCACTTTCAGGATCAGTTTTCAGTTTTTCGATATCTTGTATAGTTTAGAAATAATCGAATGAGATCACTTATCGTTTCCACCCTGTATAGAAAAAAATATATATTACCAGGATTACGCGTAAATTGCTTAACAATTACTTATGTACCTACTTATTTATGTATGTATGCGTGCGTGCAAACGTGCGTAAGTAAATTTCTCTATTTTTTTTAATATTTTCGTAGCTAAACATAATGTTTACTGTTGAGTAATGAACTAATGACAACACTAAACATTTATTTATGGTTTAGAGTTTAAAAAAGCTAGCTCTATGTCTATGGTCTCTCTGTGGAAAATGGCCGACTGAAAAGTTTTGTTTTGATGTGCTCCGTTGTAATAATTATATTTTGCATGTGTAAGATTGCAATAAACAAGCAAGTTGAAGATAATCATGGCGCTTTATTAATTAAACCCCATAACAACAATATTTACGATATCCCAATTTTAATTTTATTTTTCCCAGTTAATTGAGGATTTGACAGAAGATATTAACAAAGACGTTTATTTAGTTTCTTTGTCAAGTTTTGATTTCATCAAGTAAAAATAAAACTGAAACTCGACTACAAAAAGGTCAAGCTGCTGCATGCTGCTGAAACTCGGCAAAAAGCTATTTATAGGTTTAGAGCTTAACTGAGTAAATACCTGAGGTATGAGAGCGGCAAGGGAGGGTATTTTTGTAACGTCAAACGTGATCGAGACTTCAGATGTGCTTCAGATTTGTCTGCTCTATCACGTCATTATATGACAATATCACCCCTTCCGTGCACTCTCATACTTCAGGGACTGACTAAGTTATAAACTAATTCAAATCTAATCTACTCACCTCGTCCACAATCAAAATCACCGGATGCCGCTTCGCCTTCTTAAGCCCCGCCCACTCGTCGCCATCTTTGACAAGTGTTGCCGCTTGAGAAAAAGCCTTGATGCCGTCAACCAGCGTAAAATGGTGTACAGCCTCAAAGCACTTCGATAGACATTTCAAACACAACTCGTTCGCAAACGTAAACTCTTTGGTACAGTTCTGACAGTCGTTCGTATTTAGAACCTGTCTAATATCTTCAGTGTTGCCATGTTCAGTCAAAATTCTTCTGATACACGATTTGATTTGCTGGGACGACAATGCAGGGCTGCTTTCTATTAGATTGTAGAGGAGAATTTTCTGTTTTTTGGTCAGTCTTATGAATCTAAAAATAAAAAGATAAAATTTTAATGTTGTTGCTATAGTTCTAGCGATTAAATCAGTCAATACCTGAGATATGGGAGTGACACGGGAGGGTTAAATTGACATATTGTGACGAGACAGCGCATACAAATCTAAAGTCACCTGTCATGCGCTTTGCAATGGAGGGAAGTCGAACCTTAATTTCGAACTTCTCCTATGTTCTTTTGATTAATTTCGTTGCGGGTCCAATGACAGTTTAACTTTCCCCCGGGACAAACTTGACCTTCATTGGTTGGGTTTTTGTGGCGGTCAAGCTGTAGATCCTGGCTACACAGGAGTTGCAGTGGTGGGAACGAGAGGTGGGAATAAAATCTAAAAGAAATCTGAAGTGTCGATGACGTTTGACGTTTCAAAAACAATCCTATTCAGCTCCATACCTCAGGCACTAACTTAGTAGAGAGCTAGGCCTATAGTATAAAAAATATGATACTTTCTGGTAGTAACTAAAGCCCGGTCCGTGAGCACGTAGAATTTGGTCCAATGACCCCTAGCTACCCATCCTTACCGCTCGCGCGTAATTATGTTGCTGTCGCGCTCGCACACTCACTGCGGGCGCCCGTCGCACAGTCGCGACAGTAATGTAATTACGCGCGAGTGATAAGGATGGGTAGCTTGGGGTCATTGGACAAAATTCCACGTGCTCAAAGACCAGACTATAGTAACTAGTAGTTTTCTTATGCAGTGTGGGTTGTAATAAATCGGGTCACGAGCCAGTAAGTGTTTATGAGCCGGCGTAGGCGTCTGATATGGCTCAATTGGACCGACGGCTTAATGTCCTTCATAAATGCTAATATTATAATCGCTTTGTTCTCAAAGGTTTGTGAGCATTCATGGATGTTTATTACGGCTTTACGCGAAAACTATTGAAGTATTAGGCAATGAGACTTTAAAATGTTATAAGTTGCACATTAGAATAGGTCAGAGCACACTTTCGGTAAAACAAGGGAATCAAAAATGATACGCCTCTTTTAGAAACTATTATATTATTACTAGTTTAGATAATATTACCAGAGCGAGAGAGAAAATAGATGGTCTGTAAAAGTTTAAAAACTTCAATTTTACTATCAAATACTAGTAAAAACTAGACTATTTTTCCTTAAATGTTTTTCAGAGAAAAACACGAGCGCGATAGTTTTTAGTGACAGACCGAAATTGACGACCCAGGTAAAGCTGCACACAGAAGTTAGTATTCACTAAGTCTTTAGACATGTCCACCCACAAGGTGGACCGACGACATCGTAAAGGTAGCAGGAAGGCGCTGGACGCTGCCGCTACCAACCGGGCAACATGGAAAGCATTGGGGGAGGCCTATGTTCAGTAGTGGACGTCCTATGGCTGAGATGATGATGATGATGATGATGATGATGATTTAGACAAGTCCTTGGGTCTACTTACCCCCAGTCAGTTATGGTAGCGTCTACCAGTTGTACGACCCTGTCTCTCAAGCTGGAGTCCACCAGTTTCCCCGTCAGCAGACTGCCCCAACCACCCAGCCATTCCTTGTCCATCACGTTTATTACACTCTGAAATAAAGAATGAATTGATTGTTTCCTTTAGTTTCTTTCTCTGTTTGAAAGTTATCCGTATTTTTTGTGAAATCTCTGTATGACTTCATCATTTTAATATTAAATGATCGGAGACGCGGCCTCTCAATATAGGCCTTAAATAAACTCAAAATTGAACAGCATGCTATGGAGACGTTTCTTTACGAGATCGAATCAGAAATGAAGAGCCCCGTAAACGAACTAAAGTCGCTGACATAGCCCACAGATTAGCAAGCTGAAGTGGCAATGGGCAGGGCACATAGTACGCAGAACTGACGGCCGATGGGGCAGCAAGGTTCTGGAGTGGAGGCCACGTACCGGCAAGAAGGCGCTGGATGCAGGCCGCCACCAACCAGCCATTGTGGAAATCATTGGGGGAGGCCTATGTTCAGCAGTGGACATCCAATGGCTGAAATGATGACAAAGAGACCTACCTTCATCCTCAAATCGATATCCTCTCTTCTGCTCCAATAATTCTGCACCAAACGCTTGTTATTTAGAAACTGAGCATTGTCTATGGTTTTGTAGTTTTCATCCAGCAATGAAAACAGTTCTGTGAACAGGGGCTTTTCTCCTTCTGAAAATATAATTTAACCTTTTATGGTAATAAAATATGAAGAACTATACTTCCCACATAATATTGAAACCTATTGCCTATTATTAAGTAAAAAACAAACATTCAGCACAGCTATTTAATAAAATAGAAACATGAATCATGCATATTTTGTGTACAAATATTAAGTAAGCAAAAGCATATTAGTCTGGTCCGGGAGCACGTAGAATTTTGTCCAATGACCCCAAGCTACCCATCCTTATCGCTCGCGCGTAATTATGTTGCTGTCGCGTTCGCACACTCATTGCGGGCGCCCGTCGCACGNTTAAGTTACCTACGCTATCACTTGTTTTTGAAAGAAGAGGTGAAAACTTAAAATTAAAAACTTAAATCCTTGTAAATATGCGAGAAATGGGTCAAGCCCCAAATTTAAAGTATTTTCACCGATAAAATTGTCCATAGATTACGCCCTTAAAGTTTGATCACTACATGCCCGGACACACTGTATATGCTTGAATTTTGGTCTATTCACAAAATGGTTCCATGAAATTCACAAATCTATATTGAAGACAAAAATGCAGTACCAGGTTCATATTAATATTAATAAAATTAATTTCATTTGTTTTACATTACTTAACTTACCTTTATTAACATTTGCAGGAATGTTAATAGTTATGGGTCCCACATCAGTGGTCTCCAAGTATGCGTTTGTCATCATTGTCAAGTTCAACGAGTTGATCTCAATCCTATACTCGTCAAACGGTTTTAAGTTTTCGTTGGGGTTGTACGGTGCAGTCAACTGAATTACAGTCCATTCTGAAATAGATACAAAACTAATTTAATTCTTTTAAATTTGTCTGTATGTGACTTGATAAAAAATGGTTCATTCTACAATCAATATATCATATCATTCAATAAAAAAAGCTGACAGAGTAAAGAAAACATGTTTAGTGCAGGTCATAATATTTTATAGTATGTTATGGGATAAGCTAACTGGCTAACATCATTATAAGCTTAAAAACATGCTACTAGTACCTTTAGGCAGCTCCTTCAGAATGCTCTGAAAGTTGTCAACATTATTCTCCGGACTGAACTTCAGATATCTTTTGTAGAATGGCACTTTGTCCGTTACTTCTATCGCTGGAAGCCCTTTGCCAATATTATTTCCATTATTTTTGGTTATAAAATCAAATAACTTTTCTTCTTCTTTTGTCCTGTGAAGAATCATCAATATATTATCAGTTAAAGAGACAAAAACTTGTATTGAGGGGTGAAATATGAGTTATAAGTTTATACTTACATAGGATTTTGATCAATTAAATCCATCACTGGTTGGATGAAGTTCTCTATTTTATGCATCTTATTTCCTGAATATTTTAAAACATCACATATTAAAAACTTATTCAAGCTATATTATCTCTTCAATGATCAACAGGAAAGTAAAAAAGGTAAACATTTTTAACAAATCGCCAATAAACGTAAGCGAAAATGAACAGAAATACAGATAAGAACAGTTTCATGACTTCAAAAACAATACAAAATAGCAGACGGAATCTTTCGTACCTGCTGCCTTGATTTGTTCATCTCTGTACACAGCCATAGTCCTCAAAGTGGCCGATACAGCTTCGCTTAAGTGGAAGGCACATTCTGCTTCTTTGCTGGCTGCCAGACACTCCTCTGCCAGGAGTTTTCGTCCACCTGTAAAGTTAAAATTCTCTCAAGAATTATCACATAATCAAAAGTAGTTTCAAGTCATTAAGGCTTAATGTTTATCACCAATGAGCAATAACTGCCATTTTCTAATGTCTTTACTTTATTTTTAATCCATAATTTTCTATAAAACTGTACACTAAAGCTGAAATATTAAGAAATAAAGTTACACGAGAAACTCACTTTGGTAATTTGGCCCGCTTGGCGTGTAAGGCACGTCTGTCACATATTTATTTAGAATACTATTGTAAAATTGTTTAGTGTAGTTGATTTCATTTGTGAACACATCAAAATCTTCCATTCTTACAGAAAAACTTAAAAAAAATGCAAGCAAAACACAAAAATTAACCGCAAAATTTCAAACATAGAGAAAAGTAATACTGATTTCAAAACCTGTTTTGACAGTTCACAGTCACACTTTTTATATGCTAAAGACATACTAGAATACAGCTTTGTTATCGAATGCGGTAATAACGGTAACGTTAATCGATAACCTTAAAACACTATGATCTAGTCCTCTAATCCATCTGTGATCTAGTCACAGAGGAATATTGAGAAGTCGTCAGCCTCATACAATACCATTCAAACGAATGGAATTCCTATTAAATATGGATATCTATTCGCATAGTGCAGCTTAGGTATTTGTTTGCATTGCTATAAGTTAGCTTTATCTACACAAAGAGGAAAGATTTGATAGTTTGATGAAGCTCCGATGATTTGAAAAATCATTTTACATAAGAATCTTCATATAACTCTATGAGAATCTTACATTATTTCTGCCGCATTTAGGCTGTATGAATTTCGCCTGGTCAGCTAATTTATAATAACTGCATCGAAATCTGCTTTTAGATTTGTATCATTTTATTCGCTAGCCTCATGATAATAACTCTATGGCTAGCCTAGCTTCCTATGAGCTATATGTATGAGGTATAACTATTTAGTAGGGTGACGGAANATTCAATCTCGCCAAAAAAAAGTGTTACAATGTCTAAAATAATTAATTATGATCTCTTATTTTTCATGAAAAGTATGAGAACTAGTCTAACTAGTGTAATATTAATAGGGCGCTGGGCGAGAGATAAAATGGCTCTTCTGTAAAAGTCTAAGAACTTCAATCGCTCGAAACCAAGGTACAAACTAGGCTATTTTTCCTCAAATCCAGGTTTTTGAAAGAGGAACACGAGCGCGATAGTTTTTAGTGACAGACCGAAATTGACGGCGCAGGTAAAGCTGCACACAGAAGCTAGTAGTCACTAAAGTATTTAGATTAGACATATCCACCCACAAGGTGGACCGACGACATCGTAAACGTAGCAGGAAGGCGCTGGACGCAGGCCGCTACTAACCGGGCAACATGGAAAGCATTGGGGGAGGCCTATGTTCAGCAGTAGACATCCTATGGCTGAGATGATGATAATGATGATGATTTAGACAAGTTCTTGGGTCTAACTTACCCCCAGTCAGTTATGGTAGCGTCTACCAGGTGTATGACCCTGTCTCTCAAGCTGGAGTCCACCAGTTTCCCCGTCAGCAGACTGCCCCAACCACCCAGCCATTCCTTGTCCATCACGTTTATTACGCTCTGAAATAAATAATGAATTAATTGTTTCCTTTAGTTTCCTTCTCCATTTGTAATTATCCGTATTTTTTGTGAAATCTCTGTATGAATTCATAATTTTACTGTTAATATTATCAAATAATCGGAAACGCGGCCTCTCAATATAGGCCTTAAATAAACTCAAAATTGAACAGCATGCTATGGAGACGTTTCTTTACGAGATCGAATCAGAAATGAAGAGCCCCGTAAACGAACTAAAGTCGCTGACATAGCCCACAGATTAGCAAGCTGAAGTGGCAATGGGCAGGGCACATAGTACGCAGAACTGACGGCCGATGGGGCAGCAAGGTTCTGGAGTGGAGGCCACGTACCGGTAAGAAGGCGCCACCAACCGGCCATTGTGGAAATCATTGGGGGAGGCCTATGTTCAGCAGTGGACATCCTATGGCTGAAATGATAACAAAGAGACCTACCTTCATCCTCAAATCAATATCCTCTCTTCTGCTCCAATAATTCTGCACTAAACGCTTGTTGTTCAGAAACTGAGCATTGTCTATGGTTTTGTAGTTTTCATCCAGCAATGAAAACAGTTCTGTGAACAGGGGCTTTTCTCCTTCTGAAAATATAATTTAACCTTTTATGGTAATAAAATATGAAGAACTATACTTCCCACATAATATTGAAACCTATTGCCTATTATTAAGTAAAAAACAAACATTCAGCACAGCTATTTAATAAAATAAAAACATGAATCATGCATATTATGTGTACAAATATTAAGTAAGCAAAAGCATATATAGTCTGGTCCGGGAGCACGTAGAATTTTGTCCAATGACCCCAAGCTACCCATCCTTATCGCTCGCGCGTAATTATGTTGCTGTCGCGTTCGCACACTCATTGCGGGCGCCCGTCGCACAGTCGCGACAGCAATATAATTACGCGCGAGCGATAAGGATGAGTAGCTTGAGGTCATTGGACAAAATTCTACGTGCTCCCGGACAAGACTATATATGCTTGAATTTTGGTCTATTCACAATAATGGTTCCATGAAATTCACAAATCTATATTGAAGACAAAAATGCAGTGACAGGTTCATATTAATATTAATAAAATTAATTTCATTTGTTTTACATTACTTAACTTACCTTTATTAACATTTGCAGGAATGTTAACAGTCAATGGTCCCACATCAGTGGTCTCCAAGTATGAGTTTGTCATCATTGTCAAGTTCAACGAGTTGATCTCAATCCTGTACTCGTCAAACGGTTTTAAGTTCTCGTTGGGGTTGTACGGTGCAGTCAACTGAATTACTGTCCATTCTGAAACAGATACAAAACTAATTTAATTATTTTAAAGTCTGTATGTGACTTTTTTTTGTTTTTTTTATTTTTAATTGATAAAAAATGGTTCTACTGCTGATTTAACACTATCTAGGTCCATTATACACTCAATTTATTATAGTACCATTCATTAAAAAAAACTGATATAGTTAAAAATAATCATTTTTGTGCAGATCATATTCTATAGGATAAACTAACTGGCTAACATTATTATAAGCTTAAAAACATGCTACTAGTACCTTTGGGCAGCTCCTTCAGAATGCTCTGAAAGTTGTCAACGTTATTCTCCGGACTGAACTTCAGATATCTTTTGTAGAATGGTACTTTGTCCATTACTTCTTTCACTGGAAGCCCTTTGCCAATATTATTTCCATTGTTTTGGGTTATAAAATCAAATAACTTTTCTTCTTCTTTTGTCCTGTGAAGAATCATCAATATATTATCAGTTAAAGAGACAAAAACTTGTATTGAGGAGTGAAATATGAGTTATAAGTTTATACTTACATAGGATTTTTATCAATTAAATCCTTCACTGGTTGGATGAAGCTCTCTATTTTATGCATCTTATTTCCTGAAGATTTTAAAACATCACATATTAAAAAGTTATTCAAGCTATATTATCTCTTCAATGATCAACAGGAAAGTAAAAAAAGTAAACTTTTTTAACAAATCGCCAATGATGAACAGAAATACAGATAAGAACAGTTTCATGACTTTAAAAACAATACAAAATAGCAGACGAAATCTTTCTTACCTGCTGCCTTGATTTGTTCATCTCTGTACACAGCCATGGTCCTCAAAGTGGCCGATACAGCTTCGCTTAAGTGGAAGGCACATTCTGCTTCTTTGCTGGCTGCCAGACACTCCTCTGCCACGAGTTTTCGTCCACCTGTAAAGTTAAAATTCTGAAGAATTATCACATAATCAAAAGTGGTTTCAAGTCAATAAGGCCTACTGTTTATCACCAATGAGTAATTACTACCCTTTTCTAATGTCTTTACTTTATTTTTAATCCATTATTTTCTATAAAACTGTACACTAAAGCTGAAATATTAAGAATTAAAGTTGCACGAGAAACTCACTTTGGTAATTTGGCCCGCTTGGCGTGTAAGGCACGTCTGTCACATATTTATTTAGAATACTATTGTAAAATTGTTTAGTGTAGTTGATTTCGTTTGTGAACACATCAAAATCTTCCATTCTTACAGAAAAACTAAAAAAATGCAAGCAAAACACAAAAATTAACCGCAAAATTTCAAAACCTGTTTTGACAGTTCACACTTTTTATAAGCTAAAGACATACTAGAATACAGCTTTGTTATCGAATGCGGTAATAACGATAACGTTAATCGATAACCTTAAAACACTATGATCTAGTCATAGAGGAATATTGAGAAGTCGTCAGCCTCATACAATACCATTCAAACGAATGGAATTCCTATATGGAAATCTATTCGCATAGTGCAGCTTAGGTATTTGTTTGCATTGCAATAAGTTAGCTTTATCTACACAAAGAGGAAAGATTTGATTGTATGTTGAAGCTCCGATTATTTGAAAAATCATTTTACATAAGAATCTTACATTATTTCTGCCGCATTGAGGCGGTATGAATTTCGCCTGGTCAGCTAATTTATAATAACTGCATCGAAATCTGCTTTTAGATTTATATCATTTTATTCGCTAGCTTCCTATGAGCTATATGTACCTATGAGATGCATAGGTACCTACGAATACTAAATAACTATTTAGTAATACACTATTGAGAACAGGTAGACCTATCCCTACATTTATGTGAATGAAGCAAATTCCAGTCTAGGTAGGTAAGAAAACATTTGCTTGTTTGTTGGTGTCGTTCGAATGTTCGAATGGTTGTCCATTCGAACCGAACCCAATTACCTACCTACTTACTTATTAGGTAAATTAATAGAAATGTAATGTAACGATATATTATCCTTCTTTGTTGTGTAACCGTGGTCACATTATTAAGGCGTCCACGTCGCGGGAGGCGGACACAGGGACACAGTTCTCCATCCACACGATCTCCCATCAGCTTCTTGCTGGCAGACTATGAAGCTGGTTCAGTCAGTTAGATTTAACTTGACGTAGACCAAAACTTCATTAAATTTTCACATGCATGGGGGATTGCTGGATTCCTAAAAATAGAGAGGAGTTTTTAAGAATTTTAACAGAAGGAATGAAGTAAAATTAAGCACCTACCTACTTACTTACCTAATAATAATAAGTGGGTAGGCTTACGTACTTACTTACTATTGAATTGGTTGACAACTGTGTCGACGAGCGTGTGAGATGGTTATGTAATTTGTAGGTCTGTCTCTTTGTGTGTGATCAGGAAGTTTATTCAGCTGATTTGAAATAAGTTCATTGTACAGACAAGTTCATTATTACTGACGTTAAGGAAGATCGTTATAATTCTGTGCTCACCGAGCAATAGCCGAATAAAAAGTTCATTCTAATTAGTATGCACCATTATAACTGCTTCGAATGTTGCGACAGCCCATAGTTAAGTACCTATTGCATATGAGGCGCGGTATGCAAACATTGAAGGTGCCAATACTTTCTAGCTTGCGGTTTTGCTGATATTCGACGTAGATTCCTAAGTACTAAGTACCCGTTCGCGCTAAGTTTGCCGGTCCGTGGAATGCGCGTCCCCTCCCCCAACCGCGATTAAAGGCAATTAGTTAGTGATTAAACGCAATTATTGTCTTATTTTACGCAAATACACAATTCTTATCAATATTAATAAATAAAAAATATTTTAAATATAGTTTGTTAAAGTTATATACGTTTCCCTTCGAGTGACGTCATATCGCCAGCGGCAAACTTAAAGCGAACGGATAGTACCTAATAACTACGGCCCATAGCTTAGTTGTTAAACGTTTCTCCACCCAGAGCTATCATCAGGTGGGGTAATAAAATCAAACAGTTAAAACATACAGGTCAAAATGAACCTCCGTTTTTAGATCGGTTACAAACGGTCAGTAACGTATTCTAAAGATCTTACTATTATTACCTACCTAATGGTAATCACTATGGACACTATGATAATATTTAGAAATGACATAAGTAATTAATTTATTCACAACAAAACCATCGCGTCCCTGAGTTCTTTCTCTTACCGAACCACCGACTTACCTATCCGGTTTGTGTGGACTTTTTTCAATGAATGGTATTTCTTTAGTTATTGATATTAAGTATTAACTGTTTTTAGACGAATATTGTAGAAGAAACTCATAATAGACGGTGCGATAACTTGATAACACCTACCAAATCTTCTACTATACTATTTTCTACCAGCAGTGATTGAAACAATTTTATTCCTACCCTCCTAAATTGTATCTGCTACGCACACAAAAATAAATTAAGCTTAATTGACCAAATATCTCATTTGGTATGAGAAGGAGATTTAAAACTGGAATCAAACAAATAAATTTTTACAACTTTTTATTATAATAAACATAAACAATGCGCAAATTAGTAAACTAACAATCTGCCACATTAAAAAGTATGTTTCTTCGTAAGCAATTATTAGACTCTGGTAAATAAACACCGAAACATGTTAGAAAAATATAACAGAAAGTTATCAAGCTTACATTGACTAACGATTATGATCATCTTACGAATAGTAAAATTAGTGGCACTGAAAACGTGTCCCGCCATACAAAAATGTATGCGGATACCTAATTCAAAAATTGTGCTGTTTGAATATAAGGCACAAGTATTTTTATTAAAAACAACGTCCAACTTTCAAAAAGTCATAAAATGATGGCCGAAAATTAAAATTTAGATAAATGCCAATATACGATTTTGACTTCCAATTAATTTATATACCTTTCAATGTGCAAATAAATAATAAAACTTGTAAAGTAAGTTATTAGTAAATGCATTAAGTTGCATTTTACTTATTAAAACTAAAATTAAGGGCTATTTTGTTTCAAAATAACTTTTGGATACAATACTGATAAAGAATACATAAGACGTACTATTATAAGCAACTTCTCAGCTACCAAACAAGCATAAAGCGTGGACATATCGCCTTGTTTCTCAAAACATTTATAATGTTAACATAAAAATAAACTATTCGAATGGATTCAACAGGCTTAGAAATATTCTCCATACCTAAGAAGCTACCTACATAGTTAAAAGTAACTTGAGAACAATTTTTCTAATCAGTGAACTATAAATTGTGCCACATGCTAATAAAAATACTAGATTTTCAGTCTATCGTTTGCGGCAGCGATTGTTACATAAATCGTTGCGTCTACTACTTCAAAAATTATCACTTTTTATAGTAACTTTCAATTTAATGGAACCTTGTTAAAGTAGAATTATTAATATAATTATTTGTAAAGTATAAAACATCGAATATTTCAATTAGCACGGGCATCACTAAGATATGCGACTGTGTAGACGGTACATAATTACATACTACTAAATACGTATAAAAAGTACCTACTATTTCACAATTGCTTCGATAAAGGCATTCGTCGGATATGACTTGAAGGCACAAAATTATTACTTTATAACCAAAGTTACATAAAACCATCCCTACCTTTCGTACTAACCGTATTAATCGCGACCACCTACTTGCAATAAACTATACAATTCCATATTCGTAACACAAATGATCCTCGACTCGTCGGAGCACCGAATCCGCTACAATATAAAACTTCTCTCAATAACACTCTAACCTTATACCATTTTAATATTCTTTAAAAACATGAATTAAATACTAATATACAACTAGACAATATTTTTGATAAATATGTTACAATAAAAACTTTATTGTATACAACTATTATTGCCATATTCGTAAAGTTCAGTGGCGAGAACCACTCAAACGATGCAACATCAATAAATAAGTATGTACAGGTGTTGCCTACTATCGGAAAGTACTCAACCCTTATCGTGATTTGGGATGTATAGATTATGCATGCTAATCAAAGTTTATCTTATTTACAATTCAAAACAGATCGAGAAAAAGGCCTTGAAATCTATCACATTTAAGTTTCTGTTACTTAACAGGCAATAGCCAACATAAATAAATTAATATAACACTGTTAACAGCAAATACTGTCTATTCCAGATGAAGGAATTAAAAGTAGCCGTTTATTATGCGAATTACTGTTGCATTTATTCGTATGTACGCGCTCGTCTTCGCTCAAATGAGCATATAGCGTAGGCGTACACTCGGCAATGCACGACCTCACAACACACTTAATTAATTCCATCTCGCGCTACCGCTACCGTACCCTCGGCAACTAGACCACGCGGCCTACAAAGTAACGGCCGCTGCTCGGGGGACGAACTTAAATGACTACAAAAACAAAATTAATCACGAAGAGTTCCGAAACTAAACTGTGGCACTCGGAAAATGGAAGTAGCTGTCGACCTGAGTATCATCAAGACATGTTGCCAATACCTGCGCGTTTGCCCATAGGCGACGCGTCCAGGATTCTTTCGTTGACTTTGTCCTCTTCCCTGAAATGAATCCTGGTGATTACGATGTCTCCTGTGCTGAGAGTCTGGGACGCGACCTCCGACTTTTTGGTCTCGCGATGGTCGTTACATTTCCCGTCTTCGTAATTGGAGTTATGGCATCGGCAGCAACAATTCTTTCTGTCGGCATCCCCTGCTCCTATGTTCAGAATTTGACTCAGGTTCGACCAATCTTTATTCTTGAGCAATGGCAGTGTTTGTTCCATGGTTTGTGAGAATTTGTCCTCCAACTCCCCACTGAGCGGCGCCACCGCAGAGAGAATTGCTTCGAGGCGGTTTATTTTCTCTACTTTGTCCATGCTTGTGTCTGACAGAATTTCGTCCATCATCTGCATTGACTCTGTGAGGCTTGGAGGCTGTGTTGAGTGTGGAGAAGAAATAGGATCGGACGGGTTCGACTCTAAGCTAGCCATCTCGTTTTCCCTTTCGTCATCTTCTGAATCAGAATCCTTTTCTTGTCCAATAGCTTCTAGTTTCTCTAACTTCTTAGATATCTTGTGACAACCTTTTAGTTTTTCCTTCTCTTCCTCAGTGAGCTCTAAATATCTGAGCAATCTGATTTCCCTGTTGCTCAAAACAATGTTCTTTGTTGACTCTGCTAGTTTCTGCTTCAATTCTCCTACTTCAGTGTTAATTTTTCTTTGCCTTTTGCGTAATTTTACTTCTGTGGGCTGGATGTGCATAAATACCTGTTCATTACTCAGTTCTTCGAACAGCTGTTGGTTTTCTGGTTTAATGTTGCTCGACATGTATGCATAAAT